TCCCCTGGGCTCTTCCCCGATAGCTCGCAGAGAGCTAAAAGGGCTTCAGATTAGAAGCCGGCACCGCAGGGTAGCCCTGGAGTTCGTTCCAGCTTCTGTCAGGAGGGAAAAAAACACACAGACACAATCAATCGTCGACTCCCCAGAAAATATGGGAAAATATGGGAAGTGGGGGGGAAGACAAAAACCCAGAAAATATGTGAAAATATGGGGAATCTGGTTATTTGTGTTTATTTATTTGTGCGTCTTGGGGCCCCTTCATTCTGGCAGAACACTTCACGGCAGGCTGTGTGAATTTGCAGCGTACCTGGAAACCCCTTTTTCTATATGTTTTCCCTTACACGTGTGCCCGGTAGCTTGCCAGAAGCCCTTCCCGCAGCTTTTCCCGAGAGCTTCCAGAGGCCCTTCGACGGTGCTAGGAGGCCTTTCTGGCGCACCGCCCTCCAGGTTTTGGACACCACAAGTTTTGAAGAAGAAGAAGCGCCATACATAAAGTTCTTCGCCGTGTAGCGCACGGCGGGACGCCAAATTTCCAAAGAGCACGCTTGAAGCTTCAGCCTTAAGCTTGAGCTTGAAGCTTCAGATATGGTCTGGCTGGTCTGGTTGGATGCTTCGGATTCGGGCGAGAGTTGTTTAGGAGAGGTACTGGGAGGCAGCGCCAACCACTACGACCACCGGAAAACAGTTGCTTGTTGCATCTCAGTTGTTGTTTCGTTGGCAGTTTTGTTTTGCAGTGCAGTTTGTTTTGCATCTGGTCTGGCTGGGCTGGTTGGTCTGGTTTCAACTTGATCAGGAAGCCTCAGCTTAGGATGTTTTTGTTTGCATTGCAGTTTATTAGCTTTGCAGTTTTGTTTTGCATTACACGTGTTTGGCACTGGTTTGGCTGGTCTGGTTGGTCTGGTTTGAGCTTAGTCCTGAAGACTTAGCTGATGATTTCGGCGAGAGCGGTGCAGTGGAGGTCCAGGGAGGCAGCCCCCAGCCACTACGACCACCGAAAACACATGTTTGGGCATTGCTTGTTTTTGCTTTGCTGTTTTTGCTTTGCATTGCAGTTTGTTTTGCATCTGGTCTGGTTGGTCTAGTTTGACCTTAGTCCTGAAGCTTTAGCCCTCAAGATTCGGGCGAGAGTGGTCAGGGGAGATCCAGGGATGCAGCACCAACCACTACGACCACCTACAAATAGTTGTTGTTGGCATACAGTTTGTTGCTCTGCAGTGCTTTTTGCATTGCTGTTTGTTTCGAACATGGTCTGGCTTGTCTGGTTGGTCTTGTTTGATATTAGTCCTGAAGCCTGAGTCTGGGATTGTTTTTTCCATTGAGGTTGTTTTGATTTGCTGTTTTTCTGCATTTCAGTTTTTGTGTATCTGGTCTGGCTGGTCTGGTTGGTCTGGTTCGAGCGTAGTTCTGAAGACGTAGCTTAGGATTCGGGCGAGAGCGGTGTAGGGAAGGTCCAGGGAGGCAGCGCCAACCACTACGACCACCGAAACACAGTTGTTGTTGCATTGTTTTTCTGCTGCGGTGCATATTCTTTTGCGCTGCAGTGTTTTTGCATCTAGTCTGATCTGGTGAATTTACCTGGCTGGTCTGGTTGGTCTGCCTGGCTGGTCTGCCTGGACGGTCTGGCTAATCCGCTTGGTCGTCGCCGTCGTCCTTGTCCTCGCCCTCGACTTCTTCGTCGTCGTCGTCATCGTCCTGCCCTTTGCGTCGCCGCAGCCAGAGCTGGGACCGAAAGCGCTGCTGCGTGAAGTCCGGCTGCGGCGGAAGGGAGGTTGGAATGGAGGGAACATCAGCAACCATATCAGTTTTTATGTCCCAGAGCAAAGAAAGGTGCTGGGGCACAAGGACTTGTCGCTGTGGCGTAAGGACTTGTTCGCGAATCCCAGTCAAGTTCGCCAGCTCTGTGGTGTAGCCTGAAAGGTTTACCTTAACAAGGTACGAACGCCCGCGCCAGTGGGTCCAAGGCATTTGCCGCCACCTGTCGACTACACGTAAGAATGACCTTTCGCCGCAGTGACCGTTGGTGCGGGCCCACTGGGCCCCCCCGATCGCCGAGCGCGAGGCGGCAATGGCGTCTTCCGCGCTTGTGTTTGGCACCCCCGCAGCCCCCAGAAAGCCGCGCGCCAAATGGCATTTTTGCCCAGGGTCACTCTTGCGCGTAGCCGAAACTGGGGAGCCGGGGCGGCACCCCTCCGGCGAGCGCGAGCCCTCGAATGTTCCCGATGTGCCATGATAGTAGGGTTTTGTCACAGGCCTCTTGGTAGAATTTCTGAGGCGGGTCCGACGGGCTCAGGGGCCCACCCGAGGCCACCATGCTAAGGTCTTTGGGGACGGACAGTGCCCAGCTGCGCGCGGCAAGCCCCGCCACCGTGCCAGTCCAGCATGCTGGGTGGCGATTATTCGAGGGGGCACGGGAGGCCGTCACGCGTGATTCTTCGGGTGTCCTTCTATGTTGTGGAGGCCTTTTTGATTATTCGGCGTTTCTTGGCAGCGCCTTTGGGGCACCTCGGGGGCTCTTCGGGGCTCCTTGGACCGTATGGGGGCGGTTTGGGGCGGTATGGGCGCTTTCAGACTCCATCTCGGAGGCCTTCCAGGTCTTTTTGGGGTCTCTGGGGGACCTTGAGGGGCGCCTGAACGTTTTTGGGGACGACTTGGGGTCCTCGTGGGCCGCTCTTGGGCCATTTTGGCACCGTCTTGGGGTCCTCTTGGGGTCCCCTTCAGGGCTGCCTTGAGGTCATATCGGAGGTTTATGGGTTGCTTTGAGCCGACGAAAGCTCGAAATGGTGAGAAGCTACAAAACGATGGAACATCAGTAATTTTACCCTTGGCGGGCTGTGTTGGGGGCTCTATTGGGACCTTCTTGGGCCGTTCCCAGGCCATCGGAGGCCAGCTTCTGGCGTTTTGGAACCATCTTGGGCCACCTAGCTGGGTAGTCGAAGGCCAGACTGTCAGATTGGATTGGGCCCCAAGGGCCAATCTGGCCCGGCCAAACTGGATGATTTGGGTTATTCGCCAGACTGGATTCGCGTTGGCTCCCTCGCCAGATTGCCCCCGTTTGCCAGATTGGGCCTGCCAGATTGGCGCCAGATTGGCTTCCACTACCCAGCCTAGGTGGCCTGGATGGCTCTCCTGGGCCGCCTTGAAAAAATATCGGGGGCACCACGGCCACGCCGTTGCCGCCCCGGCTCCCCCCCCTGGAGGAAGGGCGAGGCGCGCGCCACTTTGTGATGAGAGGGGTGTTGGATGACCACAGAAGCCCTGCCAGGCAGCGCGTGGTATTTGTCCACGCGCCAGCCTGCCAGGAGGCACGGTGGCGAATCCTGCGAGCAACGATTCTGTGTGGTGTTGTGCCCGCCATCTTGTTCGATTGGGATGATTTGCTCGCCGTGGGGTTCGATGACGCCTGCGACGCGGCCATCACCCCACAGAGCATACGGCGCATTATCAACACACGCTCGTATGATCTGTTCAGTTCATCGCAGAGCCCCTGGCGTAGCAGCGCAGTGGGACAGAAGTTACTATTACGGCTCGCCCGAGTTCTGTTTGAGCCGGCGACGCCAGTGTTGACCATCCTTTTCTCGTCCGCCCCCTTGTGTTTCTCCCCTTCGCCTGGGCGGTTTTCTGACGGCGATTCTCGGGGCCTGCTGGAGCCCCCTTTCGGGCGCACTGTCGGGCGTATTGGGAGCCGATCAAGAGTTCGTCGGGGGCCTTGCGGTCGTCTTGGGCGCGATGCTTCCGTTCCGCTCTCACGGCGAACCTCGGTTCAGCCATGTTGCGCACACCTGGCTGGGTCTCGGGGCCGTCCCTGGCCCGCTGTGAGTTCTTGTTTCAGTCCAGGGCAGCCTTGGGCCTTGGGGCTATCTTGTGACACTCCTCCGCGCAAGAGCGAGGGCTTCTTGAGTGAGGCTCTCTGATGCCCCCCCGATGCGGCCTCAATAAAAAACACACAGACTGTCATGCACATGTTCTGGAGGTTGTTGATAGACCTGCTACCATGACGCGTCGATTAGCGAATTGGCTGTTTTCGGGTCGCGGGAGGGCGTCGCGGCCGTCATTTTCGCGGGTCCAAGTCCGTCAGTTTCGGTCCTAGGCTGTTTTCACTATAGGGGTGGTTTATTAAAGGGAGGCTTGTCCACCGCCGAGTTTCATTTCCATTCAGCAGATTGCCTATCATGGTTCGACCCTCAGTGTCTCGCTAGGGATCTCTGAGATATATTGGAGTCTTCGTGGGGGCTCTTGGGCAGTCCATTGGTGACGAAGGGCAAGATTGCAGCCGTTCGAGGCCATCTTTGGTTGTATTCAAGCTTTTGGACAGCAGAAGAGGGTGCGGGAAAGTAAACACCCGGGGCGCGTGCCATACCGTGTCTGCAGGCTGGAGTCGGCTTTAGAAAGCGGTTGAAACCCTACCACACGCGAAGCAAGCATTATCACACGCCCCAACTTGTCGAAGGAACGACCGCGGAGCGTGGTGTCTTTTCGAATTGCTTTGTGTTTCCAGCTAGTTACGAAATCTTATATGTGTGATAATCAGGAAAGGAGCAGACAGCGGAGTTAGATAAAGTCGGATACACTTGTATTCGTGGCAATGGCAGCGAAACAAATCGTTCACCGGGGGAATCCAGCATCTCGTTCGATGGGAGGGTCAGGTAGTTTTGTGATGCGAGGGTGTGGCCCGTGAGGAACCGACGTGTTACTTGGACCACGTTTGCTTTCATGACGCTAGAAAGTGCATGCTCGCGCTGTCGCCCGACGAGAAAATCTGCCCCTACAGTAGAGGCCCATGCCAAGAAACACCCGTCTTGCCTCCAGAGTGCCCTGGGTTTCCTGGGTTTCGATGGTTTTGCGATGGGAAGCGTGACGTTACCACACCAACAAGCAGCGGACGTCTTGGGGCCGCAGGGTTGGGTTTCCCGTGGAAGGTTTCTTGTGGACCAGCCTCCACTGTACACCTGGATGGAGTCTGCATGTGTCTGCTCGAGCCCGTGGTCTCACCTCTGCCGCAGGTGCCAGCGAGGGCCTCATCACGGACGAAAAAGACGGCTCGCCGGACCTGATCCTCTTCGTAGGCAGCGCGCTGGGGGGCCCTACTGGAGGGTTTCTCCGAAGGGCTTAGGCGACCCCTCCTCCTCCTCCTCCTCCTCCTCCTTCTCCTTCTCCCCCTCTTTCTCCCCCTCCCCCTCCTCCACCTCCTCCTCCATCTCTTCCTCCCCCTCCTCCACCTCCTCCACCTCCTCCTCCTCCTCGGGTCGCCTACGGCCCCGGGGGAAACCGTGCAGGCTCTACTGGCACCTGCAGCTGCCACACCGCTCTTCATCGTTCGCGCGCGCGGCCGGCTGCGTGCCGCAGCGCCGTGGATCTCGCGCGCGGCAGGCCCGTCGGAGCGGCCACTTCGGGAGCGGCCCGGAGCTTACCAGCATGGAACATATCCCTATCGGGGGTGGACAGACCTCCTACCCTGACACGTCGATTAAGGAATTGGCCGTTTTCGGCTCGCGAGAGGGCGTCGCGGCCGTCATTTTTGCGGGTCCCAGGCCGTTTTCACTAAGGGGAGGTCTACTAAAGGGAGGTTTGTCCACCGCCGACCCTATCCCTATGCTGGGCACCTCCTCATCTCGATGCCAATCTCAGGGATTCCCTTCTTTCTTGAGGGCGGATCCCCAAGATTGCCGTCGCCTTTGGGCGTGTCAGTCTCAGGGATAGGGATATGCTCGAGGCCGGTAAGGAGTTCTGTTCCGCGAGGTGCGCTGGACTGGCTGGCCGGCCGGTCGTGCCCGTCGGGCGACCGTTGTGTTGTGCTTTCGGCCCCGGGGTGCGCAGCCTCTGCCGCAGCTTGGGTGCGAACTCATGGGGGGGGGGGCAATACATGGGGGGGCAGGGAGGGCTGCAGAAAAGGGCCCCACAGAGGTGGCCTTGAGGGCCCGAACGGGGCACCTTTCTCCCCCTCCCCCGATTTATCGCCCCCCCCTCATAGTCAACCCATAGTCAACCCGCCTAGTAAGGATGGGCAACCTTCCACGAGCCCCCTTGCATCGTTGCCTCTTCGGTTCATCCCTGACCACTTTCGTTGGCCGCGCCCCGCTCGAGAGGGGCGTCCACGGCCCTTGCATCCTTATCGCGCCTCCTCATGGCACGGGCCGACTGCGCTTCGTGCCCGAGCAGCCAGCAGCAGGCCGCTCCGGGCTCGGCCGCCGAGAGTGCGCAACGCGTGGCGCAGACGACGGCAGGGTGCTTCCCTTGCGGCCTCCGCCGAGTGCCGTGCGCCCCCACTGGCGCAGCCCACACCGGGCCGTCACGCCGTCGGTCGCCCAGTGCACAACCCGTGGCGCGACCGACCGTGTACCATTGGACGGGCGGCCGCAGAGAGCGCAGCCAGTGGCGCAGCCAGTGGTAGGCCATCCTCAATATTCCCAGGCGCCGTGCGCAACGCACACGTCACAACGGGCAGCATGCTTGTCTTGCAATTCTCGGCCGCCGAGCGCGCAAGAGCAGGCCGTTTCGAATACTCTCTCGGTCGCGGGGTGCGCAGCTTGCGGCGAGCCTCATGGAAAGAGCTCGGCGCAGCCCATCGATCGCGCAACCTATGGCGCGACCCATGGCTTACTCCATGGACGGCGCAACCTGCGGGGCAATCGACGGATCCTGCACCCCTCGGCGCGCCGCATGGGCGCGCGCAGCCTTCGGACCCATGGGCGCGCATGGGCGCCACACACCCCTGCATGTTCTAGGGGTGGTGACCATGAAGTGGCACGGACGGAGTGGGTGACAGGGACGGATGAGGGAGGAGTGAAGAATGATGGAGGTGGAGGAGGAGGACGAGCATGAGCTGGAGGAGCAAAGGCAGGATGAGGAGGAGCCCTGGGAGGAGGACGCAAGCAAGGAGGAGGGAGGAGAGGAGGGCGAGAGGGGAGGGAGGAACGGATGGAGGCGGAAGGAGGCGGATGAGGATGATGACGGTGATGACGATGTGAGAAGGCGGGGATGAGGAGGAGGGAGCAGGGAGAAGAGGGACAGGCAGGAGGAGGAGGAGGAGGAGGTGTCAGAGGAGTGGCAGAAAGAAGAGGACGGGGGACGATGAGGGAAGATGAGGCAAGGCGTGAGTACACGGGACATCAAGAATGATCGATGGGGAAGTTGTAGGAGGATGAAGAGGACGGGGGGGGGATGAGGAGGGGCAATGTGCATAAAGGAGCAAGGGGGAGTGATAGGAGCAGAAATAAAGGGGCTGGGCAACGCCACGGATTAATCTGATTGTTACGTCTTGGCGACCCTGAATCTTGCTCGAACACCATTCTTGGGACTTCGTTGCCACGAATCAACGTAACCTCTGCGCTCTGACACTCCTGAATCGTTCCAACGCGCAGTTTCTGGTACGTTACCCATGGGAATCAGTGAAACCCTCGCATATGGTTAAAACGAGCTTCAGGTGTACGATGAGGAGGTTGAGGAGCACAGGAGAGAAAGGGGGGTTGGAGGACAGATGATGAGGATGAGGCGTGGGAGTTGGAGGAAAGAGGTTGATAAGGAGAGAAGATAATGATGAGGATGGGGACAGTGGATGAGGCGGAGGAGGGAGCCGGGGTCATTGAAACAATGAGGATCGGAGGACGGACGGCAGGAGAAGAGGGGGAGAAGGAGAAGGAGAAGGTGCAGCAGGGGGTGATGGAAGGAGAGAGGATGACGAGGAGGAGGAGCAGCATGAGGAGGGGAAAGATAGCAAAATGCCCCAGAACGTCCCATGTGGCTGCGTTACAAAGCGGACGCTGCGGAGCTGGTACACAAGGGTGATGTCGACGGGGTTGACCATTAGAGGTAGGCCAGTATTATGAACACACGGATTCCTTCCCTCCTCGCTTCTCCTCCTCCTCTTCCTCCTCCTCATCCTTCCTCTCCCCCCCTGCCCGAGTCTCGGGCTACTGCAGTTTTCGTTTGCCTGCAGCTCGGCACCACCAGGCTTCGTCGCGTTGTCATTCCCCTCAGTTGTCTTCATTTTTCTCCAAAGATAGCGCTCACTTTTTGTTCAAACATGAAAACAACAAAGAAACGAGCGTACCGCTGTCCTCCTGACGCCCACGTTAGAGACCAAAGCACCATATGGTCATTTGGTTCAGGAGTGCATGTCGATAGCGGCCATGCTAGGCGAATCAGACCGACGACCGCATCCGACTTCGAATCCACATTCTGAGATGCACCGACGTCGCGCCTGGAATGAGGCTCGCACCCCATCGTCCGTGGGGAATTATGGAGGGACTGCCTGGCCCTGCCGCAGCATCTCGCAGGTTAGGACATCCAAAACAGCGACGACCACCACTCAGAACTTCGACCCCTCTCGTGACGACCCAACAACACACACACACACACACCCATACCCACAGGGGGATCGGAGAGGGCTATGGGTGCGTGTTGTCGGATGGGGGTCCCCGGTCGAACGGGATCGTTCCCCAGGGTCCGACAACCCGCACCCATACCCATGGCCAGTCCTCCTCCCAACGACCTCCCTATGGGTATGGGTGTGTGCTGTTCGTCCGTCACCTCGAGACATGAACTTCTCCTCCAGCCGGGAGTGTCGAGCATGGTCGGAGGGCACCAACTATACACCAACACCGATCCTGGCCCAGGATCACCCTGGGCCCAGGATCGGTGTATATGCCTTCTTGCGCAAGGCAGGAGGGCGTAAAGACCGATCCTGGACCCAGGGTGATCCTGGCCAGGATCGGTGTTGGTGTATAGTTGGTGCCTTCCTACATGGCCTCGGCGGGGAACGGCATGTGCTGCCCCCCAGATGCACGCACTGCCTCCTGAATGAGGGCCGCGGAGGGCCACGGAGGGCCCCGAGCACCCGTGGCGGCTGGCAGCGGCAGCCATTCCGAAGCCTCGGAGCGCGACCTCTGTCGGCGACCTGTAGGATCGGGGGAGCGTAAGACCCGGGTTTGCCAGGACTCGGGTTCGCCATCGTTTTTTGACGACCGCGACTCGGATTTTGACGAGTAGGAGTTTCGTGGGATGTCTGCAGCGGGAGGCCTCGTCAAAATGCAGGCTCGGCCTCGTCATTTTTTTGACGACCTCGTCGGGGATTTCCGAGTCCCCTATACCTGGGTCTTACGCCCCCCTGGTAGGAACCGCCCACTCCCCTCACCACCCACCAAACCACCCCCACCCAACCCCGAAGGTCTCAAATGGACCTCCCTTTCCAGTGGGGGGGGGGTCGGGGAGCATCGAGAAAACACATAATTATTGAACCCCCAACCCGAAATTCGGGTCTTCGGGTTGGGTTGGGGTGGTCTGGTAGGTAGTCATCCCCCACTTCCCGGCTCGCTCCAAGCGACCCCCCCCACCAAACGGTGGTCGGGGCCCCATCCTTCTCAAGAGGCTGGGGGGGGCCCCCGTCGCCGTCGTTCTCTTCTTGTCCTTCGTGGGCGCCCTTCACCAACCTCGCCCCGTCAACGAGCCAACCCGCCTGCGCCCGTTGTCCCACCCTCGCCGTCGTCGGTCGTCGTGTTCGTCGTCGTCATCGTCGTCGGCGTCGTCGGCGTCAGCGTCTTCGTCGTCGTCGTCGGCGCCGCCGCCGCCGTCCTCGTCGTCGTGCTCGTCGCCCAGCCTGCGCGCAATGGAGCAGGAGGAGTAGGAGGAGGAGGAGCAGGTGGAGGAGGAGCAGCAGGAGGAGGAGGAGGAGGAGGAGAAGCAGCAGGAGGAGGAGGAGGAGGAGGAGGAGCAGGAGGAGGAGGGGGAGGAGGAGGAGGAGGAGGAGCAGGAGGAGGAGGAGGACGGAGGCTGCAGCTCTCCGCGCCCGCCCGCGCATCGCCCCGCCACCACAAGCAACGGTGCGAGAGGCGCAGCTTCTCGGGAGGCTCGCTCGCCAGAGAGGAGCCGATCCCCTGGGGCCCCTGTGGGCCGGCAGGGCTGCACGTCGAGGGTCGTGGCAGCAGCCGTCAGGGGAGCTCCCGAGCGCGATCTCTTGCCGTTATCACGCAATAGTTTGTGGTTAATTACACATGTACATATGCATGCATGCATGTATGTATGTATGCATGTATGCATGTATGCATGTTTGCATGCATGTATGTATGTA